CCGAGCTGGAGTGGCCGCCGGAGAGGTTGCCGGAACGTCGCCGGATTGGCCGCCTGAGTAGATGGCCGCCTCCGATGGAGAGAATGGGTAGGGAGATGATAGAGAGTAGAGAGAAATAGAATGATTTGAATTTGAAATTTAATAAATTGGGGTAATTGTAATATATTATAATTAAAAATATTTAATTAATTGATCTAACACCTAATTTTTGAAAAAAAATTTGAAATTTGTTATTTTTGAAATGTAATTCTTATATATAGGATTTATGTATTGTTCCCTTTTGAAACCAAGAGATTTATCTGGTTTTATATCATTTCAAGCTACCTCGCACTTTTAGGGGTGGTAGTTTAGTGGAATTGAGTGAAAAGAATCATCAAAACATTATGTAAGATCATAATGAAAAAACACTTTCATCTTTCTTGTAGATGAATACGATATTGAAATTTTTGGCTCACATTTCACGGTAGTGCGTCTACCACTCTATTGTGAATTGCCGTATTGGCTAGTGATATACGAAATATACGACAAATGGAGTATTTCTATTGATTGGTCGATAAATCATCTTTTCGACTCTGACTCTCTCTTCAGACTTTCATTTTCTTCTCATGCTCTAAGGTGTGTGTTATCATCGTTAAGTTCGATTGCAGACAAAGTGGATTCAAAATTGTTTTTCATTCCTAGAATAACTTGTATTCATGCATACAATTTATAGATTAGAGGAAATTGTTCAGAACATAGATTGTTAACACAAATAGCAGAGTTTGATCCATTTGTTTTTCACGAAAGATAAACAGTTTACTCATAAGGTATAATTTAATTTATACACGAACTTTTGTCCATGACCATAATAAGGTCTATGATGTGGATTGATCGAGCCTGGAGTTAGACAACCTGAATAATACCATAAGCTTTGAGTTAGAAGGATAAGGAGATCAAATGTGGCCTCACTTTGTTGTTCGCCATCCGCATATATTGAATTAGTGCTATCATATAGGGAGAAGATACCCTTCTTTATGTGAGTGGTGGAGGATGGGGTAGGGGAGGTACCAATCCTTAAACCCTAGACCTTAGTTGTAGAAGTTATCTTGCTCTATTTAGAACACGAAAATGGGACTAGAAGTTCCGAAGAAGTAAATTGTACGGAACTTAAAATCGAGATTACAGAGATGTTGTCTCGAGTTCGTTATAGAGAAGTAAATGTGACAAGTACAACTAGGTGTTGGCTCGAGAGCACTAGCCGATCCAGCACCCAGCAAGCATCAGTGGCCTCCTGTCCTGGATCAGCCGGCATTAAATTTTTTTTGGTGTCTATGTATATATTTGTAATTTCATTTATTTTCAAGCAACTCTTGTAACTTGGTAAGAATGTCTAATTAGTAAGTGGGAGGTCTTTAGTTTGATTCTCTACAAGAGCAATCCATCATGCAATTATTTTAGTTCAATATTTTCCACAATTTTAAAGCATAGTTATTAAAATAATTGTAAAGGGAAAGAAGCGGGAGGTCTTGAGTTCGATTCACTACAAGAGCAATCCATCATGCAATTATTTTATTTCAATATTTTCATCATTTTAAAGCATAGTTATTAAATGTAACAAAAGCACAAATGTTAAGTTTTATCAAAGTAATAGATATATTTGATTTTTATTTCGGCCATTGACGATTAGCGGTCAATGGCTGCCCGTGCTCATTTAAAATCCTGGATTCACCACTACTTGAGAGGGAGAACATGTGTTGCGACTAAAGTTGAATACTTTATTTCGTCAATGGCCGTCCGTGCTCACTTGAGATCCTAGATCCGCCACTGCTTGAGAGGGAGAGTATGTGTCGCGACTAAAGTTGAATACTTTATTTCGTAAACTAATATTGTCGTCTACTTCACAATCGAGTAAATGATTTAGATGCAATATATATGGCAAGAATATGACATCAAAAGAAGAAAAGATAACAACTTGATAGAAAATGCATGAGTCAATCCCATATTTTATGCCTACATTACGTGCTATGCTTGTTTTCAAAAAGAAAAAAGGAAACAAGAAGGATTGGAAGAAAAAGAAGTCTTCCTCTACAAGAAAATAAGCGTTGGAATTTGGTTGCGAAACATAATTCACTTTTCTTTGTAGTTTACAAACGTGGAAACTGAGGGACACATCGATAGAATATATAATTGAAAAGGCTTAAAATTGTACTCAATTATCAAAAAGCAACAAGAAATAGTTCAGAATAAGAGATCATGTAAAAAAGCATCAAACTTTGGATTGTTTTATGTACAATTTTGAGGTCTTGCCTTTCTGTTGTAAATCGTTGTCCTGTTACCTAAATTATCCTAACCTAACATGAGAAAAGGCTTGCAGTTATCTGATGAAACTAAAAGAATTGTGTGGAAGTTGGTTTGTGGTTCTGTATCAAATTTTTATAATGAATTCCTAGGAGAGCTCAGAATCAGAGACATGACCGGATGTCCTCCATGGCTTTGGACTCATTAACATCAGCTGACTTTCGGAATTCATCCTCATACTGCGTCCACTAGGTGTTATTTGTGGAGGCCTTACTGATCTTCCCTTCGGTGTCCCTGCAAAACAGCCGTGATGATAATGTAAGTTCATAAGATGTTTTCCTTTTTCGTTGTCTCCATAGTGCTTTCAAATAGCTTCAAAATCTAAATATTCAGAAACTTATGTACTGCATTGCTTACTCATTTGTACAGAATGTGGTTATGAGTTATGGCTTATTTAGTTTCTACTAAGAAAACTGCCAGAGATTAAGCCCTAATCCCACTACCCAGAGCAATAGTGAATGAATGAGTTCAGAGGATGTGGGCATAACAAGCCCATATGTGGTAAAATTCAAACGAATACGCCTGGTGCTGGTGAATCTACATAGTTCGGCCTTAAGTTTAAATGAATAAGCATAAATCTAACCATGGTTAACTTGCTAGACAACATGTAACTTCTATTATTTTAAGTATATCATGTCCATCAGTTTTCAGACTAGAATCTTTTGAATTTGCAGATATAATATATGCCTATTCTCAGGATTTTATTGTTTTGTAAGGACACACATTTTGAATTTGCCAATTTTGAATCAATGCTAGCTAACACTAGGCAATGACATTTTCAATCACGTGCTTTTGTCCTTCGCTAAGATCTCACTGCTAGGTGTCTATCTAACAAAAATTACTTGAGACTATGTAAAAGATATCAAAGTCAATAGATAACCTGGCAGTTTCTTGGCTTTGATGCTCAGTGATTTCTTTGATAATGAAATTTTCTTGTTTGACATGTCGGGAGAGGATACACACTTCTTTACAGTTGGCCTTGGTGATGGTGGTGGTGTTGGTGATGGTAATGGATCGTCTGCTATTATATTATCCTCCCCACAAGCCGAAGCTCCATCACTTCCTGATTCGGAGGTGTCTCTCTGATTTGTATTTGGTTTTTCCTTCTCTGTCACTCTGTAAGCAAACATCTGAAATGGGATTTGTGACACAGGCAACAGATTGGACTTTCCCATATAAGGAAAGCTTCTTATGATCCCAGCCTCAATATCGCTGAAATCTACTGGTGGCATAGGTGGGTTTATCTGGCTGTGTTCAAGGTTCATGACTAAGAAACGCTTAATGTAGCGAAGAATTCTACAGATAGATGAGAAACTCGGCCTTTGATTGGGATCTGAGTGCCAACATTTCTTTGTCAAGTTTGCTACATATTTAGGTGAATGGAACGGGAAAAGTGGTCTCTCTCCTGCTCTAATGTTTCGGCTCATTTTATCTCCTTGAAGATGGCTATCTTCAAAAGGGACCTTCCCCGTTAAAAGCTCAAAGCAGATCATCCCGAAGCTGTAAACATCTGACTTCTTGGTGTACTTCAAATTTCCTCCCTCAATGCCCAACTCTTCTTGCTCTGTTAGCACTTCTGGTGCATACCAAATAAAAGAAAGTTGTCCACTAGGACTTTTGGGGGCTTTTTGTGTGAGACTAATAGAGGATGATAGACCAAAACCCGACACTTTAGCATGTAAATCCCCGTTTTTACTAACATTCCTGGCTTTTATAAGAATGTTAGAAGGGTTTAAATTTCCATGATAGATTTTTTTTGAATGGAGATATTCCATTCCTCTTGCTATCTGCAGCATAAGATCAACAGCAACTGGAAGTGTGAACGGAATTCGCTTTCTTGGACCACAGAGTTCCTTAATGTAATTGGATAGATCTCTCTCCATGAGTTCCATTACCAAGAAACATTCTTTCCTTTCCTCGTCAGAAAACCCACAAAGGACGTGCATTATATTCGGATGACACAGACCTGATTCCTTAGAAATCTCAGGTATCAGCTCCTTAATGTCCCCAAAAAAGTGTCTTAAAGCAAAGGTTTCACCCAACCAATGAATCTCCTTATACTGGCTCCCATTTCCCAAACGTCGTCTCACCTGATAATCCTTTGAACTTACCAAAGTTGCACAAGGTAAAAGTACATCATCCATTGTCTCTGAGCCATATAAATTCTTCAAAAAAATATCAGCTAGTTTCTGATCATTCTTCGAACTTAATCCACCCAACTTCTTCTTTTCTTGAATCTTCTTGAGTAAAAACCATCCATCTTCGTCCCAAGCTGAATCTAACCGGTTACAAAAATCTTGAGAAACCAGATACTGTTTTCCAAATTTCCACTGAAAAAGTCTAGGATCCTTCCAATCCTTCTGGTATTTCAATGAATACATAACCTTCTTCTTCTGCATTTCATCTTGATCCATCCCCGATATCTCCCCCGCCATCTCAATTGCTTCAACGACAACCGAAAAACAGCACAACAAGTTATGTATATGAAACTCGACGCAGTCCTTATTCCGGTAGAGGGATATTGCTTTTCCCCACCAATTCTTTGTTTCCAAACACTGCCTAAGGTACGTCTCTCCTTCTTTGAATATTCTCAGAAGCTCCTTTAATGGATGCTCAATAATTTTCCATTTTGTGTCCTTTTCTTCAAATCTCAAATTCTGTTTGATTTGCTCTGCAACTGTTTTATATGCTGAAGTAAACATATCAACCAATAAACAGCATTGTCTCTGATTAATCTTTATATCATCTTGGAATACCATGAAGGCATTTAAACTTCCAATCACCTTTCCAATCTGCCTGAATTGCTCCATTTTTTTCTTGAATTTTATTACATAATCTGAAAATGGGCATCACAAGATTTTTAAATCATATCATTGCCTGAATCTGTTTTAAATTTCAGTAAAAATTTAATGTAAAACTCACCAGGAAAATACCTCCAAAAATATTGTGAAGACACGGGCAGTTAGGAGAAATCTTTATTGAATCGCACACATTCCATCAACAATGCAGAATGATGACGAAGGACTCATCGACCCAAATTTATGGATGAAGCCTAATTTGTTGTTTGGACGGCAATGGTTGAATGAATGAATTAGTGCCAAATGATTGCAAGGAAAAAAAAAAAAATTAGCAAAAGTCAACTGAAATGGGAATCCAAATTTGACATCAAAACTGGTTGTAGAGAAAGATCCAAGAGAATGGGAAAATTGGGCTCTCTTGGATGATGCAAAATGGCCTACGGTACACCACCCTTGTCTCAATCTCCCTGTGAATTTCTGTAGCTAAAAGAAGTAAATTTTTTTTAATTTTTTTTTATCGAGAAAGAGAAGATAGTCGTTCTAATCAAGTTATTGTCAATTTCTTGAGCTGAAAAGGTAAAACTCTTGTTGTAAATAATATAAACTCCATTATGAGAGTTGTATTTAGAGCATGTTTGCCCAGGATTAAAATCCAATTTTAATTGAAAATATGGTCGTTATTGGGTCCACTCGTCTAATAAAAGCAACAATAATGGCTAGTTTTTCAATTTTAATCCAATTTTAATCTCTACCGAACATGTCCTTAGTATTTCTTGAAAGAACAATGCTATGTGTACGGGGAGATTTACATGGAAAAGAACATATTTCCACTTGTCAAATATTAATTGAGTGTTGGAAGGGGGGAAAAAAACAGCAATACATGTGTTGTCATCTTAACACTTGTAAAGCTCGTTGGACAATTAATCTGTACAAAAAGTTTAACTATTCTTAAAAATATGATCTTTTGAAATTCATTATCTTGTTCGATTAGTATATTAACTATTACGCGTAGAGTTTGGGAATAAACTCTTAATATTTGAATTAATTTTCACAATGCAAGACTTGTAGAGAAGGATGAATGTTAAATTAGATTAGTGCATCATGCTTCTTGTCTTGTAATTTGATCTTACCCTTTTATCATCATCATAAAATTCTATATCCTAGATTATAAATGTTCCATTATGAATTATAGTGATATAATTTAGTTGAAATCACAAAAGGTATGTTCTCAAGATCCTTAGAAATGTAAGATTATTGTTTTAAGTAATCAACTAGGAAACTTATTTGCATAATATGGGTTGGCGTTTGGCTACAATTAATCATATTAGAGATTTGTGTTGGTAGAGATGGTGGTGATAGAGAGTTGGTGATGGTGGTGGCGGTTGAAATTTGATGTTTGTGAAGGTGATGGTAAAGATGGTGGTGCTTATCTAGTGATCAAGATGGTTGATGTCAATCAAGGATGCTTTGAAAATTTTGACCCTATACGATTAATTATTATGAAGCCTTAAAACAAATTTTTTTTATAAACATAACTTAAATATTAAAATAAATAATATTTTTCTATTTAACGGAGAGTAGCAAAATAAAACATTTCTCACCATCCGAAAAACTAGGTTAGCATAAGATTTAGCTTTCTCACATTTTGAGATGCTAAATTATTAATCAAACTATTCAAATCAAGTCATTTTTTAAATATATTATTTTCGGTTGAAACTACAGTTAATACATAAAATCTCTCTTGCGACTTAGTTGATCGAATATAAAACTAAATCAACTTTACCTTTGAAAAACTTTCTTCGACAGATGTGTAAATTGGAATTGCCTCTTTGGAGCATCCTATAGAACTTTTCAAGCTTCGAATCAGCAACCACTAAATCTATCACTTTTCTTTCTAAACCTTAAGTGCCCGTTGAAAACCAAATTCAATTAATTAATTAATTAATTTTTTTTTGTTAAATACCAAAGTCCCTATTTCTTCCCATTTAACATGAAATGTTAATACTCATTCTTTCTTTTTATTTTTCATTCTAGTTTTCACCATTTCTAAAATAACTTTTAGCTCAACTTACCTAAATAAATTGATGCTACGGTTACGTGTTTATAATTTATCTCTTTTCCTCATTTCTTCTTAGACACATTGAAACTGAAGATAGAACTTCACAGATCTATTTTTCACATTTACACCCTTCCAAATCAATATTATCATAATTGATCAATTATTTATAGAGATAATTAGAATATAAAGCACATATTTTTTAAAAGACAAAAAATCATAAACGTCATCTTTAATAAGAAAAATAATTTTATAAAAAACCCATTAAAAGAAGAACGCTAATCAGATTTTTCATAAGGAATCTCCTTTTTCTTTTTTTTTTATACCTTGGCTGGATCCTACGAAATTTCATCATAGAATCTCATAGAATTCTCATTTTCTTCCTATCCATTTGAGGCCAGCCATTCATGGATTGTGTATATATTTTTTGAAGCTCTAGGCCGTTGCCCAAGTGGCTTTGGCCTTAAAGCGCAACGATAGTGATAATAATGGTGACAACAGCTTGTGTTACTATAGATTGTTACAATTTTTACTGGTTCAACATAACTTTTGGTCTCGAAATTAATATATGTTACTATCAATCTTTCTACATATACATCCTATTTACATCATGACTTACCAAATTTACATTTAGCCAATCTTACACCATCCTTCCTATCTCACACATTTCATCCAATCGTTGTAAAACATCCACACCAATTTCTGTCAACAAAGGTGTCAAAATTGATGTACAAATAGTTTAATTGATGTACCATATATCGTTGACGTTTTCAAAAGTTTTCTCACTCATAATTGGCTCATGTTGGAGTCTTTCAAATTCAAATTTGAAATTCTTGGAGTGATTTTGGAAAACAGCCACAAAAATTGCTAGTATTGTATATTCAGTAAAATTTCAGTTTCTATTTTCATCATGTGCAATTTAAAGCAACTTTTTCATCTACAAGTATTTAATTGAATACTGTCTTCATAATCAAGTGCAGGTCCATTTTCAAGAAGATGACAATTAACAGGGCATTCATCAATAAATATGAAGGATTCAACAGAATTACACACTTTCAATTCCAACAACAATATCCAGTCTTTCCCAATAATGATTCCCTATCAACAATTCAAAGCATCGTCTACATTCGTTGGGCAGGAAACAATTCAAAGCTTGATAAGAGAGCAGAAAGAACAGGCACATCATTTTTACACAAGGCAAGCACTTACTGCAAATGATGCTATCCCATTGCATACTTCTGAGTCCAGCTCCGTGCAGTTTGCTCATACTTGGCCCTGTCTGTCTTGTACATGTGAGCAATTTCTGGTACGAGGGGGTCGTCTGGGTTTGGATCCGTCAGAAGTGAACAGATCGAGAGCAACACCTACAAGAACCACAACTTAGAAAATAGCGCAGTCCAAAAGCAGTTTCAGTTTACAAGTTAACAAAAGCAAATTTCTAGCAACAGTAGTGAGTTAGGACTAGAATGGGGAGTTCAGATTATTGGGTAATTTTATGGGCTTGTACCAAGTTCTGAAGCATAGTGTCCACTTATGAAGGGTCTGAGATGTATGCATGTCATGTCAAGTGCTTCTATTAATGGCATGGGTACAGTTTGGTAACCGAAGTACCAAAAGAAAATAGCCGATACAAATATATCTACTCCGACATTCATCTAAAATCCATGACTCGTCCATTAGATAACAAGAAAGATACAAAACGAAGAAAAGAAAAATAACCTTTGAAATTGTTAAGGCAGGGCTCCACTGCTCCTTCAATATGTCGAGGCAAATACTGCCATTGCTGTTTATATTTGGGTGAAAAACTTTAGTCCGGAATGCAACCTAAAAATTACAAGAAGTAAAATGGAGGAATATGTTAGATAGAATCATGAGAAAAAAAGTAATGGTTGATAATTGCACTAAAGAGCAGCTTCAATAATCCCATGTGCATACCATACATTTGAACTTTTAACTGTTTCAGGAAAATTTCTACTCATCACATCTGAAATCACCAAGATCTGAACTCTTAAATCCGATACTGAAGTGGTTAACACCGTGCTGACCAAAAGTTGACACGGTTTACCACTGCACCTCAATATGCATTTTAACACACCGAAGAAAATAGAAAGAAAACCAGAACTGACATGATTAAATCAATGTCCAGCACTTTAGCATAGTAAAATTACTATTTAGAGCATCTCCAGGAGGCTCTTGAAACATAAAATGATCTCTATTTTAAAGAGTCAACCCTTAAAATTATACACTAAGAAGCTTTTTAAATTAATATTTTAAAACAGAGAATGAGTTTGATTTTCCAAATTTAGAGAGCCAAACATACTTTATAATTAAATGCATTCAAAGCAATTCAATTTCAATAAAATAAAAAACAATACAATAATTTGGATGGAGCCCTTGAAAATAAAATATAGGGAAAAACAATAAGGCCATGTTTGATAGCATGGAAAATGGGTGGAAAAAGAAAATATTTTCCAAGTTTCCATGTTTAGTGGTGTTTGATGACAAAAATTTGGCATGAAAAATCTGACTTTTTTTTT